CAACCCCATAACTATACGCATTCGCGAGAGGACGGTCGCGTTCGCGAAGGGTAAGCCCCCCACTACTTCGCGTTCACCTTCACCGCCATGTCCCCGCATTCACGAAGAACAATTCTGCCCCAGTCACATTTTTCCCTTCGCGATTGCGAAGCACAAGGCACCAGCTCTCAGAAACAACTACACCAGCAAATCCTTTAAGTCCAAAAATGGTCCGTAGCCAATCTGAAACTCACCTGAGCCCCTCGGGCTCCAAATCACACATGCACACAATTGTAATAACATCATACGAACTCGCTCGCATGATCAAAATACTAAAATAATATCTAAAACTATGAATCAGACATCAAAATGCGTGAAAAGTTTAAAGAAATTCAAAATCACAACCGAGCGTCTGAATCCTATCAAACCAATTCTGATTTGCACCAAATTTTGCAAATAAGTTTCAAATAGCAAAATGAACCTATACCAAGTTCGGAACCAAAATTCGAACCCGGTAGCCATAAAGTCAACCTAGGGTCAAATCTAGGAAATTTTTAAACCTTCATGTTACTAGCTTTCGACAAAACAAGTCAAATCAAGTTAGTGACATCCGAATTCAATTCTGGGCATACGCCCAAGTCTAAAATCACGATACGCACCCACCGGGATCGTCAAAATACCGATCCAGGACCGTTTACATAAAATATTGACCGTAGTCAACTCAAGTTATTTTTAAAGCCAAAATTCATAATTTCTTCAAAATTTTCACATAAAACCTTTCCGAAAAAAGACACGGATTGCGTACACAAATTGAAAAATATTAAATGGAGCTAATAGAGATCTCGGAACATGAAAATAAGGGCTAGTACTCAAAACAACCTATCAGGTCGTTACACTTTATTTGCTTCTCTAGTAAAAATGATTTACCAATTGCATGCTTTGGTATTTTTGTATGTTTTAAGATTTGAGAAAATAGTTTGAAAATTATATGAAAATTAAGGTTGCTGACATGTATTTAGTCTTTTGTGTATGTTTTGGAGTCACAGTGAGCAAGTCTAGCCTCTGGCATCTCATGGTAAGATCCTTGTAGATTTGACATCATTCTCTTTTAAAGTTTTATATTTTCTACTAATTATTGTTCATGTTTATTGAGTTGGAAGGTAGGTTGTGGAGTACGTCAATTGGTTGCCTCTACTGCATAACTAAGAAGATGCTTCCAAAGAAGCTGTACTGTTAGTAATATTTACTACTATATGAAAATGTGTATGTTGGTAAACTAGGAGGTTTTACTACTAATTTCAACATACTTTCTGATTAATTTGTTGTGCATTTCATAAAAATACAGGTTGCTACATCAATCATTTCTAATCTCATTCAGGAGGTTGCCAGATAGACAGATACATAATTGAATTAGAGAGGTCTACAGAAGGAAGTGCAGAAAGAGTGGCAGATTAATTGAAGAAGTGAAGAAATCCTTTGTTGTTTCAAAATTAGTTAGATTTTGCTTGAATATTGAAAATAATTTTATCATATTATTGTTTTATTGTAAAGACTACAGTTTTTTATACTTGAAATTAGTATATAGAGAGCTTCTGTTTGTTAGTCCCGCAAATATTGCTGTATTTGTAAATAATAATATAAGTTATCGTAATGAAATAGTAATTAATTCGAGCCCACTGAATTTACAGTGTTTCCTTAAGGAATTTAATCCCCTCCTAATACCCAAGATTATGGATTATTTCCTCCCAGGATAGAACGAATCACACACTGGTGTAGCGGTACTTCAAACCCCAGTGTTTCAGCGAACACAAAGTTCGGTAGCAAATCACACTTACAGTTGCTTTGTTTGAAGTTAAAACAATGCAGAATAAAGAAGTAGAAACTCAGAAAATCGTATGGAAATGCTGAGAGGAAGGAGTACAATGTATAGCCAAATCCGCTTTGTTTGAAGTTAAAACAATGCAGAACAAAGGAGTAAAAACTCAAAAAATCGTATGGAAATGCTGAGAGGAAGGAGTGCAATGTATAGCCAAATCCGAATCCGAATCCGAGCAGAGCGAGCGACGACGATGTGAGGCTTGCTTTCTTCTTAACTCTTTAAGAGCTACAAGAAGAACAATTCTATATATACCCACCAAAAATCTTTTCTTCTTCCAATATGGGACAATGTCTCATTGTCAAGAGGGGGAAAAATAAAATTTTCTCTATTTCCCATTCACCCTCATTTTAAGACTATTTCATCTTAAATAACAAAAACCTCAACACTGTTTTCATTATATATGATTCCAGTTTATGTTTTTTATAGGATGCGTTAAAAATAGTCTCGACAATTTAACAGTATTTGCGTAAATGGCGATAATAATTCAAAAATTTCCGACACTTTCAAATATGTCGCAAACAATAAGCTAAAAACTACAATGCTGACATTTGATTAAAGTCTCAAACAAATGTCACTATTCGTTTGCCGACATTACTCTCTGTGTTGGAAATTTCAAAGTGACAATAAATGCCGTAAATCTTTTACCAACATTTACTTAAATGTAGGAAAATTATTAACATTGAAATTTCCGAAATTTACTTTAAATGTAAAATAAATGTCGGTTAATAATTTTGTGACATTTATCTAACTTAATGTCATAATTCATACTATAATATACATATAGTTATGTATAATCTATGTATATTGATTAAGAAAAATAAATAATAAATTTGGTTGGCTATTTGTATTTTTTAATTTTGTGACATTTTAATTTTTTTTCTTTTCCGTCTCCGCCTACCCCGCACCCCCGCCAAAAGAAATTTACCTTTTTTTGTATTTTTTAATTTTTTGTTTTTTTGTTTTTCTGTTTTTTTTTTCCGTCATCGCCCATCCCTACTTATTTTTCTTAACGGAAAACATTTTTCGTTATACCAAACACACCTCAGTGGCCTCATGCCATAGTTGCCATTTCAATTGCACAAATGTCTTCAACATCCAAGAGCAGTGTATCCACACAAAAAACAAAAGAAAACAGTTCATAGAACCATGAGAAAGCAGTATCTTTGGTATTGATTTTTCACGGACCACTTTTAAGAGAATAAATCTTCTTTCCAAGTTTGTGATAATTATTTTTGTCATGTAAATCTTTATCACTTTCCAAGAGCAGTGTAAAGCAGTAGTTACACGTTTGCATGTAAAATTTATCGGATTTAATTTAAGGAAGATCGAATCTTTGATAAAGGAAAGAGATTTTGCGCATATATATATATATATATATATATATATATATATATATATATATATATATAGACATCTTAACTACTGTTAAGTTTAGTGTTAATCTTTATCAAGTGATTAGGTAGAGATTTTACTAGGTCTATATAAATCTTCGAGGAAGTTATATATTTGTTTGCTCAGCCAAAGATATTTATCTTTTCTAAGGGGAATGCATAAAGTGGCCCCCACCAAAATTACTCATCTAGCTGTCAAGTATGCCCAAAAATAGTTACATAGTTCCAACTCTTCTAGTATTAAAATGATGGGCACGTCTTGATTTGACTAACACTCTTCAAACTCACCGTTAAATTAAGCCCATGGGTTCCGCTACTTTCAAACAACAATTCTCGTGGGTTCCATTTATTGGGCCACAAGAAAGCTAAGCCCATCCTCTAAATTCTCAAGAGTGCCACTGAAATTATGTGCTTTCGCTTTCAATTCGCCCGCAGATTTTGGCACGTGACAAGTATCACGTGACTGGACAAATTAGGACCGTTAAAAGTACAAACCTCGAGTAGTGACCATAACTTTAGTTCAGTGTTTTAAAAGACGTTTTCGGTTAGTAATACCAAATTTGAAGTTTAAATTGTAGGTTAATTATTTTTTTTTTCCATGTAAAATTTTTTATTTTTTTGACTCAAGTTACTTGTACTTCTAAGTAACATATAAAAAATTATTTTGACTAATTTTTTGTTTAAATAGAGCACACATGTATATATATATTCACATATTTATAATTTTCTTCATCTTTTATGCAATTTCACGTATTTATAAATATTTAATATAATTATATTATTTTATAAAATATTAAAAATTAAATATTCAGACTTATCCCGGTGAGACATTAAAATTCCTCGCCCCCCTCTTTTAAAACAGTGCTTTAGTGGGCCTAAATTCACATGAAGATTTGGATTTGGTGCCTACAGATGAAACAACCACTGTATGTAAACCAAGTACGGGGACGCCGACAAATAATTAGTAGGCGTTTTGGACAATATTATTATGTTGAAGTTAAAGAGGCAGAAATTAAGAAGAAAAAAAAAAGATAGAATAACTTGGATTATTATGTTAGGAGTGGTTCAAAATGATCCTTAGATATATTTTTAAGTAGTTTTGATCTTTTAAATTTGTCAAATTAGTATTCGCTCCGTTTCAATTTAAATGACATATTTTGCTTATTAGTCAGTTCAAAAAAGAATAACACATTTTTATATTTAGAAACAATTTAACTTTGAACTTTTTATTTTACCCGCTTTACTTTTATAGCCATACAAATATTATTGCCCCACAAAGTTTTTATCTCTTAAACTTTTAGGATCACATGTTTCAAAAGTCTTCTTTTCTTTCATAAATTTTGTGTCAAATCAAACTAGTTCATCTAAATTGAAACTGAGGGAGTAAAATTTTGGACAATACCCATATATATTGAAGTTAAAAGAGGCAGAAATCAGTAAAAATGACCTCCTAATTTTCATGTGTGAAATATTTAGAATTATCGGATCATCAAATAAAATGTGAATAACTCGGCTTCCTTTAGTTTCTTTGAAAAAAAGGCGTGCTTCCAAGATATGCTTGAAACAATTTTTTCTTTCTCTTGTTACTATATCTCTAGACTAGATTCAATATTTTTTATCGAGAATTAGTGACATCATTATATACGTAGTTAAGAGCAATAATTTTGATTGATGATTGATTTGTGAAACTTAAAAGAAAGACATAATTGGCATGTATGAATTTTCCGCTATAAAAGGTCCCTATTCTTTCTACTATGACAGTCCAAACAAACTCTGCTCCCAATTTTTTGAACCGAGACTCAGAAAATCTCTCCTTAGAATCTCTGAAACCTTCCTTCAGGTTAGAACCAAAACAATATTAAAACAAAACCAAAGATTCTGATTTAATATCAAAAATAGATTATTTTTTCTTAAAAAATGCTTCTTCGAAGCTCTTCAAGTCAATTATTGAAGCATTCATGGTCAACTCCACACTCATCCCCGGAGCCAGACTTCATGCTTCACGTACCAAAACAGTTCTCAAGATCAACATCATCACTCTCAATCTCATCACAAAATTCAATAGTACGTAAATTGTCCCGAGCTCTCTCTGAAACTGATCTTAAGGAGCTCCAAAATTCATCATATTTTTCCAGCACGTGTTGCATGGCCATGCATGACGTAGTTCCTCTCACAGTTGAAGAAATAGACGAAGAAGAAAAAGAGGAGCGGGTAATGTTGAATTGTGTCACGGTCTCATCTAAACACATACCCCTAATCACATGGTTTTTTCATGAGTTTAAAAGTGTATTTAATATGCCCTCACGTGAGGGCTAAATCTTTTTTGACAACCTTAATTATATTTTCAACACGGCGGCGGCCTTATAGACTCTTTTTTCGTAAGCCTAATTAAGTCATCAACCTGCCCTTCATGTGCGACCTGATTATATTCTTTTTAATGGGCCTAGCTAGCACGTTAGTAATGAGTGACGATGAGAGTTAGACATAACCTAAGACCTTTGCACCTGCTCACACTATGTTGAATTTACTGTGACGTCTAAAAATTTAAACTATTATATATATATATAATACATATTTATTTATTTATTTCATTATATATATCTTCAACAGGTAGGGTTGACAAATGGGTTGATGTTGTTTTCGGATTCCGGGTTGAAAACGGATGCAGGGTGCGAAGTTGAGGAAAAGAATAGACACACAACGGCGGTTGAGCTGGTGGTTGACGGCGGCGGGGGCGGAGGAGCTGGAAGTGGGAGGATATGTGGTGGTGGAGGAGGTGGTGATTATAACGGTGGAAAGGGAGACGATTCTGAGTACTGGGATTCACCAAATTATGGGAGTGATAATACTGATTTGTATTACACAAAGATGATTCAAGCTAATCCTAGCAATTCACTGCTTCTTGGAAATTATGCAAGATTCTTGAAAGAGGTACTAATATAGTACTTTGTTTAGCTGTATTTTTACCAACAGAAAATTACAAAGTTGTGCGGGATTAATTAGTTCCATTTCATTTTATATGTACATATTTGATTAGACATGGAGTTTAAGAATTTAAGTAAAAATTAAAAGACTTTTGGCAAATATTATTATAATTATCTTTAGAACTTGTGATTTTAAATACGTCATAATATTCTATAGTTATTAGAGAATGTCATTAAAGATAATAGGAAAAGTTTAGTGTTAAAATTCAATTGCAAATATAGAAAACTATTTTTTTTTTGGGAACAGATTTTAAAACAAGAATGTGATATAAAATGAAATTTTGAGAGATTATTGTGTTTTTAGTAAATTAAAGTAGTGAATTGCATATTCAATCAAATCTTTTTGTGACCAGAAAGTTCCTTTTTTTTTTTTTTTCATCGGTTTAATTTTATATTGTAAGAATATGGAAAAAATCATAAATAGCTTAATGTACAATTGGTAATTGAAAAATAGCCGCAGTTTCAAAAGTAATTGAAATTTAGCTATTTTTTTATGTAGAGATAAATTTAAATAAAAACACTTTTAAAAATCCGAAAAATTCTAAGTATAATATGTTGAAGTTCGAATATTCTACATATATACGAGATTTTAGCATAATGTGCTGGAGTTCCAACGAATATGCTGGAAATTCATATGCAGGATCTCCATAATCCAGGAACTTTCCGTGTTTCAGCTAAATAATAACTATTTTTCAAAACTTTACAAGTGCTAGCTATTTTTTGATTATCAGTCCGAAAACTGGCTAGTTTGTGTTATTTTCACTAATACTATAGGGTTTATTTTGGTGAGAGCTTTTTTGATAATTTAAAAGATATAGGAGCAAAACTTAAGTATCGGAGTAGCAGATTTGTTCACTATATACGTTTTTAAAAGTTGTAAATTTAGTAAATGGAATTTTGAACAGGTCCGTGGAAACTTGGTAAAAGCAGAAGAATATTGTGGGAGAGCAATATTGGCAAATCCAAGTGATGGAAATATACTTTCACTTTATGCTGATTTAATTTGGAGATCCCATAAAGATGCGCCTCGTGCTCTCAACTACTTTGAGAAAGCTATTAAAGCTTCCCCTGACGATTGGTAAGAATTCGTGCACTTAACCAGTTATAATAGATTATTTATTTATTTTTGGATTACTAAATTATGATATTATAAATCATTTACCTATTGTTGTATACGGTCATTTTAACTTGATAATGTAAGTCTCAACGCACAAAAGTTAAACTCGTAAAATGAAACATAGACATGTTTTTTTTTTGGTGATGCAGTTATGTGTTAGCCTCCTATGCTCACTTTCTTTGGGATGCAGAGGATGATGATGAAGAAGAAAATGGACAAGAAGGAAAACAGGAAATGAGCGATATTAACTCATCACAACCTTGTTTCTTCGTATGACTAACTACCTCACAGTTTAATGAATGTTCTCTTTAGCAAATTAAATTAAAATATAAACTCTCTAATATTTTTGTTTTCTGTTTTTCAACCTTTGGGGTACGTAGTTAACCTTTCTTTTCATTCCTTGACTAGTTTCTTCGCGAACATAGAATCAATAATGTTTTGTAGAACAAAGGGAGTGGGCTAAACCCTAATCAACTTGTGGGATGTTACATACCCTGTAGACAACAATCGCAACAGTCGATCTGGTCCCCTACCCCACAAAGTAACTTGACGGTCGAACCACTCCCAAGGCAAATAATGACCTAGGGGTCGATCCGGCTAAGACTCCCGTTGAGTATTTTGAGTTTTGCTCTTTCTCGGCTTGATCTTGTAATTAAGAATGAAATAAAATCATGTTCCTGGAAACACTGGAGTTCTGGTTTTATTTTCCTCCAACGGAAATTTCTACTAATTAATTTCCTTTTTGATCCAGTGTAGGTTAATTGAGTATAAATATTGTGTATTTTCTTTTTTGGCGCACGGTATCTTGCTAACCTATATAATATTGAATATGTTGATGAATGAGAACCACAAAGGCCGTAAAGGGATGAGAATTCTTTCAACATCTTAATTGGCTGCTTTTGAAGATCTCTAGAAAATATAGAACCATTTTTTGAGTCCATTACTTCACTGAACTATTAAAAATAATATAATAAAATCTCTTTTTATTTTTTAAGGGAGAATACATATTTATCCCTACATTTGTTCAGTTTTGCCAACTACACAACTTTGCGAGAGTCCAATGACTCATGAACTTGTTCAACGTAAAATTAATACACACCCACAAGACCATGACCAGATTTCAGTTAGGCAGTGCAATACACGCACTACTCATGTTTTGCCAGGTCATTCTTTTAAAATGTCAATTTTTGCTTTTTTTACTTTTTTCTACCATCTTCTGCTCATTATTTTCCACCATTTTTAAATCATCAAACCAATCACCCACTGAATAACCACCAAATTAAAATCACTACCAAGTCAAACTAAGAAATCAGTAAATCATACAGAGCTTGTTTCCCAACTATTGAACTGAAACCTAATCTCCTTTCCGCTTTGTTTGCTTATGCATATAATCCCAAAGTTCACATATTTTAAACATAATTAGCAATACTCCTGAATTGTAGCATTTTAAAATTTTTAGTCTGACTACTCCTCAGACATAGTCGACTAATATGGAGACAGTCTGCACAATACTGTTAGTACTTCGATTCAATCAAATATTTATCTCAATAAACAGTAATTGCTTATAATAAAATATCAAAGTATTAAGGTAAATGATACGAGAAATTTTATACTGGTTCGGAACCAATGTGGTATCTTACTCCAGTCCCCTTGAGTTATAAGGAGGTTATCTCTTTAGCACTTTGTAATATGAGTTGAGCACATCTTGTGTAATTTTCAGCGTTTACCACCAGCGTTTACAAAGTTGGTTTTCACTCGCTCACCAATAACGCAAAAGGTTGGTTTTTACTCGCTCACCATCAACGACTCTTTGATTTTCACTCGCTTACCAAAGAAGCGAATAATGACACAACCTCTAAGGACACACTGCCTTTCGAATATTTTCAGTCTCTCTTTACTCTTTTGTGTACACAGTAAATCTACTAAAAGTTAATTACAATGCTTGTTAAGAGTAGAATAAAGAACTTGTAGTTGGGTAGACAATTGTATATAAGGTTGCATGATTAGGAATGTCTTCAACTTTTCTTTAAATAGTTGTTCTTCTTTCTTATAATGGTTCTGACTGTTGATCCATATTTGCTGTCAATCTTCCTTGATTTGGTTAGCTGATTTCTTGCATAATTGGCGTACATGGTTCTTCTCTTGTTGTTGTATTCATCGCTCATTCTTGTGCATGACCCAAGGGATTTAGATTGCCTTCACAATTATTGCTATCCGTAGAGAGAGTTTAGCTAATTGTGGAAACCATGTACTAATTTGTACTATTTGTTTATCATAGGATTTTGCCTTGATCTTATCCTTCTTGAATCTGGTGTATTCATGGGCGGGAACTTCTTGATCTCCATGGTTGATTGTCCACAATATCTTTTCCTTGTACAAATCCTTGATTTATGTAATCCAGTTGTATATCACATTCATATTCTTTCCTGAGCCTCCTTTATTTATTTTCCTTTTTGAGCACCAAAGATATATTCTTCAATATCCCATATACTCATAACTCTTGTTTCCTTCTTTGACTATAGAAAAAAGTTCCATTCACAATGTAGTATCACTGTCTTCTTTGATTTTCTTCCTTAACTAGATACATCGTGTAATTGCCAATATACTATTTACCAAGTGTAGTACCAATCTTCCTCAAATAAGGTAATAGATCTTCAATATAGAAAATATTTCCTTCTGAATAGCTCTCAAAATATCTTTGAACTCCTATTATATAGGAAGTATTCCTTTCTTGATCTTGAAAATTAATCTCTTTCCATAATATAGATTGTACTATCTCCATAATATATTTTTTTTCCATAGAAAATATATTCTTCATATTATATTGGAAATATTCCTTTCTTGATCTTGGAAAATAATCTCTTTCCATAATATAGATTGTATTATATTCATAATATATTTTCTTTCTATAGAGAATGTATGCTTCCTTGGCCTTGTAATATCTTTTTCATGTAGTATCTTTCTTCCACAAAATAATAGATCTTGTAGAGAATTCTAGCAACCTTCCTTTCAAGATATTTAAGAACTCTCCTTCCATAATTTTTGTAGAGTCCTCTTCTGATATTGTAGTAAACCATTCAATATTTAAAATATGACTTTCAAATATTATTCCTTCCATGAAGCTTGCAGATTAAATCGCTAGGAATAATCTTCCTTGATAAATTCATTACATGATATTAACTTTCCTATATTTAGTTAGATCTTTACTATCATCTTATTTCTTAAATAAACCTGTGCAAGAATAAGATTACCACAAGCAAATGTTCTTTGAATAATAATTATGTTGGTTTGTTATCATCAAAATCAATACGTGAAACCTTGAAGCTAACAATCTCCCCCCTTTTGATTATGATAAACCATTGATTACAAAATAAGAAAACTTAATTAAAGGAAGTAATGATATATGCTAGATAAACTGGTTACTTCCCTGAAGTAATCTTCTCGAAATTCATGTAGTACATCAAGTGTGGACTCCCCCTCAATTTATGGTTTCCTTAGTTATGCTCCTCCTGTCTCCATGCATTCTACCTGAATTTTTGAGCTTTTGTATTTTCCTCTTTTGTCATCATCAAAAGGGTGGAATAGGATATAAATTACTAGAACTAATAATAAAGTATACGCTCAACAAAAAATAGATCTTCCAACAATCTCTCAATTAGATAAATGCACAATCCCTTAATATATCTAGTCTAAAGTAAAATCAACGACAAGTATACTAAACACTAAGCAATCAATACCAAAGGTTTGATTCAATTGGAAAGACTTTTGAGTAACTAAATCATTGTTGACCACACGAAGCACAAGAAATTGCAGTTCATTTTAGGTCAACCAAAAATAATTTCAAATATTTAAAGAGAATTATTAGACTTCTAATAACGTAGATCAGTACTACACAATTTTGAATCTATTAAAAATAATTCTAATAGAATCGAACCGCAGACATGCTATCATAGAGTTGAAATTACATAAATGTAACGACCCTGCCAGTTGTTTTGAGTATTACAGCCATGTTTCCCTAATTTACTGCTCAATTTATACTTTACAGTTGTTATATGACTTACTGGTGTAATTGGTTCAAGTCCGGTGAGATCTTGAAATGAATTGGAACACTTAGTTTTAAAGTTTAAAACTTAAGTTGAAAAGGTTAGCTGGATGTTGACCCATGTGTAAACGACCCTGGAATAAAGTTTTAATAATTCCAACATCTCCATATAGTGAATTTTGACTTAGGAGCGTGTCCGAAAAATTATTTGGAAGCCCATAGCTAAATTAGGCTTGAAATAGCAAAATTAAAAATTTAAGTTTTGAAGTTTGATCGGGGAGTTGACCTTTTGATATCAGGTTCAGAATCCGATTCTGAAATTTTTAGAGGTCCGTTATGTCATTTATGACTTGTGTACAAAACTTGAGGTCAATCGGACTTGATTTGATAGGTTTCGGCATCGGATGTAGAAGTTAAAAGTTCTTAGTTTTATTAAGCTTGAACTGGGGTATGATTCATGGTTTTAGCATTGTTTGATATGATTTGAGGTTTCGACTAAGTTCGTATGATGTTTTAGGACTTGTTGGTATGTTTGATTGAGATCCCGAGAGACTCGAGTGAGTTTCGGATGGTTAACGGATTGAATTTTGGACTTTGGACTTTGGTGAAATTTTTCTCATACACTGTCTGATTTTCTTCTATGCAATCGCGTGAAGAGGGATGCGATCGCGTAGGTTTAGCTGAGGCAGTGGAGAAATTATTCTTCACGATCGCATGTAGATGAATGCGATTGAGAAGCTATGGGATTTTGTGATTCGCGAACGCGGGCTAAGGCCGCGTTCGCGTAGAGAACATGGAGTAGAAGTGGAGGTCGCGCGTTTGTGCTTCGCGATCGCGTGGACGAGTCCATGATCGCGCAGGTTAGTGAAGTTGAGCTTCGCGGTCATGTGGACAGGTCCGCGATCGCGTAAGGTTAAAATTGGTCAGGGGCAAACAGTGTTTCGTGATCGCGTGAGATTGTCCACGATCGCGTTAAGCAAATGACTAGGCACAAAGTTTAAGTTCTTTTCGTCCCATTTTCTATTTTTAACAAATTGGAACTTGGGGAGAGGCGATTTTCGGGAGATTTTCAAGAAAAATAATAGAGTAAGTGTTCTTAACTCAATTTTGATCAAATTACCCGAATCTATTGCTATTTTTAGCATTTAATTAGTGATTTAAGTTAGAAAGTTTTGGAAACCCTCTTGGATAAATTTTAGTATTTGAGGGCCGAATTTTTATCGGAATTTAGTAATTTTGGTATGGTTGGACTCGTGGTTGAAAGGGCGTTCATATTTTATAACTTTTTTCGGATTCCGAGACGTGGGCCCTATGGGCAATTTTTAAGTAAAATTTCGGATTTTATTAAAACATTAGTATTTTCATATGGAATTAATTCCAATAATTTGTAGTGACTGAATCAAATTAATTGTGACTAGATTCGAGGTGTTCGGAGGATGATTCGCGAGGCAAGAGCATAGAAAGTAAAGAATTACACAGTTTGAGGTAAGTAACATTCTAAACTTGCTTCTGAGGGTATGAATCCCTGATTTTTGTGTTATATCAATTGTTGAAAGTGACGCACATGCTAGGTGACGAGTGTGTGGGCGTGCACCATAGAAATTGTGACTTAAAATAAATTCTGTGGAGTTGTAAAATTAAAGAATCATATTATTATTCGAATATTCTCCACATGTTAGGGAAATTAAGGCGAGACTCATATTAAAGA